GAGCTTTTATCCTTTGGTTCCTTTTTATCTTTTTTGGCTTCTTTCTTCCCAGCAGCCTTTTCACCTTCAGATTCTGAAGCTGAGCTTTTATCCTTCGGTTCCTTTTTATCTTTTTTGGCTTCTTTCTTCCCAGCAGCCTTTTCCCCTTCGGAGTCTGAAACTGATTTCCGGGAATCCTTAGAACTTTTCGTGGCCACTGGTTTGGGACTTTCTTCCTTGACTATCTTCAACACAGTCTTCTCCTTTGATTCAGATTCACCTTTTTTCACTTTCTCTTCTTTCTTTGGTTTTTCCGAAGGTGGGGCTGCTTCTTTAGACTCTTTCTTGCCAGAATGAGGTCGTTTCAGTGGAAGGCCCTTCCTTGCAGCTAAATAAACGGATGGTCTCTCGGGAATTCTCATCAGTGAACGGTGCATCCACAATGGTGGTCTGTGAATTGATAACTTTTGTTCATCGATTACCTCAATATTGGAAATAATAATAAGGAAAAAACATGTTATATAGCCTTTAATAATACGATACCACATACATATTTTTATTTTAACTGAAAATATTTTTTTTAATATTTTCAAAATATTTTTTAAAAAAACTGTCGCTTAATTGTGGATTTTAAAGTCTATTCCAATTTGAACTTCATTAAAATTTAAAGTAATGGGCAATTATGTCCTTACTTGTAGTCTACTTCCAATTTACAGGGACTGCAATTTTTCTTTAAGATTTAACATTAAAATTTGATAGAGACCTCCATTGGTGCATAACACATTAGGATCTCTCTTCATTATTAAGAGGGGCTAAAAAAGACCCTATTGTGAGAGTTTATAGCTAGTGAAGCTTTCACTCCCATTCATTCTAATTGTGAATTAAAGTATCTTGACATCTTTTTGCTCTGTAAACCATATATTGCAGGTAGGAGTATTGAATGAAGCGTTAGCATAAAATAATCTACAATCAATATTAAAATTGGGGTGGCAGTTATATAAAATATGTCCATCATGACAAGACTCACATTAGTCCTTACCCTCACAGCACATTTAACAATGTATTACTTTACAAGATCATTGTTACTAAGTAGTTATTATTAATATATACATGATATTTTCATATACTCACAGGAGCTGTATTGTTGCTTAATTGGGAAGGTAGTGATCTCCGTTTCTTTCCTGGCCTTGGTGGTTTGGGAAATGCCAGGGAAAAGTATTGCTGATTCCATGATTTTTTGCTTAATTCACTGACTAAAATAAGAAAGATAACATATGCTTAGCTATAAAGGGAATTTTGTCTGAACTGAAAAGGCCATGAGTATGATATATGCCATATAAATAAATGAATAAATGAGGTAAATTACAGCTTCATTTATTTGATAGTTTGAATTTTTTGGTGATCTAAATGGGAAACTTTGATTTTCTACACTGACCAATTTTAGAAATAAATATTTTGACTGGCAGCTATATAAAGTAGTCATAGTGCAATCAGTGCTGTCTATAACATAAAGGAGGAAAAAGAGTATCACTGCTCCTTTTTCAGTATTTCTGTGTCTTCCAGTTCAGATTTTTTTCCATATGTTTTTTAAAATATAATTCTGCTCAGAACAGAAAGATAATGTGGTTCTATAGTTACCAAAGAACTTAGCACACTGCTTAACATAAAATATGCAGAAAATATGTGCTTGAATTTACATACTAAGCTTTAAAATCCTATCAGTTAATATTCAGTTTCTCAACTATAAGAGGACATGTAATATACTATAGAGATAGGCTGTTATGGAAGATTGGTTTAATAAAGGAAAATGATAAACAAATACAAAATGGGACTAAGAGAGTAATATTACTAGAAATAGCAATAGAAATGATTATGGCTGTTCCAGTTACAACTGAGGTTAATGAGAAATACCATCACTATATTAGTGCATATGAAATATTGCAAATTTTAGAGAAACAACTTCCTACTTTCCAAGGGACAACATTAAGATCAATGTTCAAATGTACAGAATGAAAGTTATATTGAAGTTTAATTGAAGAGAGAAAACAAGCTGGTATTAAAAGTTATTCAATATTAAACAGATTTTTCTTGTCTAGTATTGACACTAGCTAAATATAAACAATCAGGAATCCAGTAAAAGGTTCTTGATTAAAAGTATTTATTCAGCCGGGCGGTGGTGGCGCACGCCTTTAATCCCAGCACTCGGGAGGCAGAGCCAGGCGGATCTCTGTGAGTTCGAGGCCAGCCTGGGCTACCAAGTGAGCTCCAGGAAAGGCGCAAAGCTATGCAGAGAAACCCTGTCTTGAAAAACCAAAAAAAAAAAAAAAAGTATTTATTCAGTTTCTTCATTGTTTTTCATATTCAAGACCACTATGTTATATTATTTCTAAAATAAAAGCATTCCAGAAGATTTAAAATCATACTTATACAACATATACCTATGTAAAATGTGTTCTCTGTTCCCATGAGAAAAGTTCTTTGGCAATACAGCCATAGCAGTTTTTATGACTTTAAACTGAAGATAATAAACACGTGTCTAAAATTAATCAGGAAAAGCTAGTAGGAGTAACCAACCAATGTCTGATTTGACTTAAGGCCCAGTCCACAAGATGGAATCCTTACCCAACACTGCTTGGTGACCAAGAACCAGAGACTAGACAGCCCAAAGATCTAGGGTAAAACCAAATACTACTGTTCTTAAAGGAAAAAAAAAAGCAGTGATAAAATGACTACTAATGATATTCTGCTATACTCATGGATCAGTGTCTTCTTCACCCATCATCAGAGAAGCTTCCTCCTACAGCAGAAGGGAACAAATACAAAGAGCCATAGACAGACATTAGGTAGAGAAAGGGAGATCCTATGAAAACACAGCTCTAAAATGGGATGTCTGTATCAAATTCCTCTCCTCAGGACTCATGAAACCCATAGGAGATTAGTGGGAAAAGTATGAGTCAGAAGGAATTGAGGACACCAAGAGATCAAGTACATCTAAATCAACTTCCCAAAGGCCGTGTGAACTCACAGACACTGAAGCAGCATTTCCAAGGCCTGCGCAGGTCTGAGCCAGGTCCTCGGCTATACATTATGACTTTCAGTTTAGAGGTTTTATGGGACTCCTGAGTGTGAATGAATGGGTCTCTGATTCTTGAACCTTCTTTTGGGCTTTATTCCTTCTGTTGGTTTGCCTTATCCAACTTGGATGGATGGTGTTTGTTTTGTTACTATATTTTATGTTGTTAAGTCTTGTATTTATTTCTTAGAAGCCCGTTCTTTTCTAATGAGAGACAAAAGAGGAGTAGATCCTGATGAGGGGGAGGAGGTGGGAGGAACAAGGAGAAGCAGAGGAAAGGAAAACTGTAATCAGCAAAAGCGAAAAGAATCTCTTTTCAATAAAAAGGAAAAAAATTAATCATTCATTTCAAAAATAAATATTGAACTCCATCTTACCTGGAATATAATTATCGTATGGTCCATATGTTACTTTTAGGCTATTAAAACAAAATAGAAAATTTTAAATTGTTTTATACAAATATCATGTATCTAATGATCATTATTGTATGTAAAAAACACTACCAACTAGACAATTACTGAATTATTATTATTATTATGTAAGCCAATTTCATCTACAGGACAATAGGGATGAGCGAACAGTATTCAAATTTAACAAGACTAAGCTAGGATAGAGCAGAATATACATATGTGTTTGTAAAGGAGTGAGATATATACACACTTACAAGCCCACCTTTTAGTTACATCTAAATTTTAGAATTTTTTAAAATTAATTTGTAAAACACTGATCAAGTTATTTTTCTAATTCATAGCACAAATTCTCTTAGAATTGGCTTTTAGCTAAGATACTCCTTTCTAACCCATGTTTAACTAAAGTAAATACTCAATATCTTCTCAAAATTTAACCAAATCTAGGTCATTAAATGGTATATGTGTATTTATGCATGTATATGTCAGGATTGTCAGGGTACACTCTAAGTATTTATGTAGAATTTCATTATGTAGATAATCTATGAAAATATAACAAATTAACAAATTATGTTGTAAACAGATTTCCATTAATAACTTCTAATCTGTTTTTTTTAATTATAGGGAAACCTTTGTTAGCAGGAAGAAACATTTTAACTAATTTTTATTTGTTTTAAACAAAGACCAGCAGTAATAGGCCTTAGTACTATTGTCCCATATTGTTCTACTATGTAATGAATAGATATCAATCATGGATCTGACTGAATCTGAGCATTAATTACATACCCAAATATGTAGTTTCTCAGTTTAGAATTTATTGGTTACCTATGTAAATGTATATGATGTATACATGTATGCATGTTTGTATTATGTGCAGGTACATGTATGTGTTGATGTGTGTGTGTGTGTGTGTGTGTGTGTGTGTGTGTGTGTGTGTGTGTGTGTGTATACATTAGAAGGGCATACTTAATGATTCTCTTCAATATGTATTGAAGCATGATACCTCACTTGATCCTTCAGCTCACAGATTCAGCTAGTCTAACCAGCTTGCTCTGGCGATCCTCTCTGTGTCTTCTAGGCACTGGGATTATAGGCAGGCATCCATGCACTAGTGGCAGTTACCTGGATGCTGGTTAGACTCCTGTTCATGCAATGAACCACCTCTTGAGCTCCCATATTTTACTTATTTTGATGACATATCTTAAGAATTAATGTTCACTCTTTGTCTCAATGGTAGAACAATTTTCTGGTGGATGAATATGGAGAACTCAGTCATTTTGATTGTTCTGATTTTATGTTAACAAAGACTTTTTTTAAAAAAGTTGAGAATTAAATGAAAAATGGTAAGTTTCAAAATGATGGAATATTAAAATAGTTTGTGAAATAGAACCTGCAGTTTTAATATCTTATTAACAAAATAATTATTTAAAATCAAGATTTTGAATTTTTGTATAAACAATAATAAAACAGTATAAAGAAAAAAGATGGGAGAAAATATAGTTTGAATGATCCTTTATGTCAATATTAATATTCTCCAAACTGTCAAATTATTATTAAAAATTAGTATTACAGAAAAACACTCATTACTAAACAGATCTACAATATGCTAAATTTCAACATATTCTGCTAAAAAATTAAATTACAGACCAAATAATATTATGACTGAGGTTTATACTCAACAATATAATTTAGTTAAAAAGAAAATCAATTAGCACATTCATCCTAAATGAAAATAATAAATGAACATAATTTGATCATATATGTAAAATAAATAATTAAAATAATAATATCCATTTTTATTTCATTCATTTATTGGAAGAAAATAGAATAGAAAATGTCTTCCAAATTTCAGTAAAATATGTCTAGAAACTATATGCTGTTAACTGTAAAATCAGTAATTTAAGATTGTTTTTCTAACATAATCTAAAAGCAAAATGCTCACTCCCATGAACATTGTAGTTAGTATCCATTCCATGCCCTAAGGCAATAGAAGCATGAAGACTTGGAAGAGCAAGTCAATATATCTCTATTCATAGGGGAGCTGAGTGGGTAAATAAAATAGCTAATGGAATCCATAAAAGCTATGCATTGTTAAATGAGTGTACTAAGGTTGTAGATTTTAGTTGTTTGATTGTGTGATAGTAAATTTTAATTGCTGATTTGTTACAATATATAACTGGGGGGAAAGGGTCTCTAAGAATGTTTGTGAGGGATTGTCTTAATTACAAATGCTAATACTTAATAACAAATAGCAGACATGTATGAGTCTATTGCTCTCTGCTGTAAACTCTGGTTAAAATACAATGAATTCTCTCAAGCTCTTGTCACTGTGATTTTCTGACATGATAGATTGTAACCTAAAACTATGGGATAAGTCACCTTTTTCTTACTTGAATTGCTTTTGCCAAATGTTTTCATCATGGTACCAAACATGAAACTAAGACAAATTTCATAAATTATACTTCCACATACTCAAAACTGTGAATTATTATTCAAAGACATTAAACCAACACATGGAGAAATAAAGTTAACAGTTAAAATAAACATAAACAATATAATAGAACAAATGTCTTAGATATCTACAGAACATTCATCTAACAAACACAATATCCACTCATTTCAATAGAATATTCTCTAGGATAAATTAGAATAGAAAAATATATTTCAACACATTGAAACAGCATTGAAATCTTCCAGAGTATCTTTTCTTAGTATATTGAAATAAAACTAGAAGTCAATGAGAAAATACTTGAAAACATTAAGATAATTCAAATACAAGGACATTAAAGGGATTATTCTTTGATTTAAGATTTTCTATACTTTCTGGTTTATTTTTATTTTCTTTATTAAATTAGCATACAAAATAACAAATTTCCTTGTGGTATTTTCACAGGTACTTAGATTTAGTTGATACTGTTGCCCAATTCTCTCTCTCTCTGTCTCTCTCTCTGTCTCTCTGTCTCTCTGTCTCTCTCTCTCTCTCTCTCTCACACACACAC